AAAAGACTCAACAGCGAAAGAAGATAAAACCAACAAGAATGCTAGAGAATTTTTAGAACCCTACCTGGTATTCCGGTGAATCATCAATCAATAGACACATCGAGATAGACAAAATTTATCAACTGATAAGAAAGAAACCTCACACACAAAGGGTCAAAGTTCAAGTCAAGGAAACAATCAGTTCCAATACAAGTAACCCAGAAGGTATGAAAACACAAAAACAACCAATCACGTCCAAGGTCACCAGGAGAGATGATTAATAAACTCGTGAAGAAATCTAAAAGCTCACTTCATCGAATTGAAGTATGCGCTGAAGATGTCACCTAGAAGGGTAACGAAAGCTTCGCAAATTAACTATCCAGCTCAGAGAACACAACCACATCAAAACCAAACTTTATCAGTCTGGAGTAGAATTCATCCAATGTAGGGGAAAAGAATAGTCACTCCGTCATAATCATCCCAAATATTTAAATGAAAGGCACTTCTACGCTCAACCTAAATACGAAATTCACAAATAAACACAAAAGCGTATTTGTATAAAACCTTGTACTACTGATATATTTGAAATGAGTAGTCGCATACCACCCATATCAACCGATAGTACTTGAATCCCAGATTGAGATGATCTAAACACCAGATGGCCATTTCGCTCGTTTGGAGCCAAGCTCACCAGCCGCATACTTGGCTTTTGGTCTGCTTAGAGATCCGAATCAGTTCAAAACACACGAATTCTGGCTAGCAACTTGAGCAAACCGGTGTCACCATAAATCAGGTTCACAATTTGCAATGTACACCAGTTCAAGGAGGGTGGAGGTTGAAATCTCACTGTCTGTCTGTTTTTGACATAGAACTTTGCACATATGTGCCACAGTTCAAGTCGCCACACTCCCTCCATGTAGAACACAAAGCAAGAGAAGAAAGTAGAAGAAATGCAAAATAGAGACAGTAAACAGAGGTGTGAGACAAAGGAATAGTAATAACGAAGAGCAATATGGTTTCGCTAGAAATCATAAGTCACAAGGAGTGGATGCATCTTCGCTAGTCATTGAGAACGATTTTGAGCCATGTCACCAATTGTTTCCAAAAAACATTGGTTTTTACCATCCCGAGGACCTCAACCAGGAAGTCTACATCTTCCTACGTGGCTGGCTTAAACTAACTGTTGTTGATTTCATCGACTGGAGCCATGTTTTGGTTTGACTGCCGCTAGCTCTTTTCCAGTCTAACCCTATATCAGCTAACATTGCCCGTCAGTCGAGGGAAGCGATGACTAGGTATACGTAACACATGTCCTAACCATCTCACTCAGTCGATGTAATTTCACGGCCTCGTCGATTGATTTCTCCTCCTTACCTAGCAATCGATCGACGCCTAACCCCAATATTGCTCGCCTCATTAAACCACTTCACACAGGAGATAGAATGCAGGCACCTATGATCAAACACAGCTAACTGGGCTTTTCATGTCTTCCACTCTCCATGACCAGATCATGCAAAAAGTCATAAAGGAGAATAGAGCGAACTGCTGAGCAAGACACAAGCCTTTGGTCGATAAGCCGGATATCACGTCTACGCCAGAGATGGCGTAAACTGGGATACGCAAAACTAGCCCCCCGTATCCGTTCTGAGATTTCATCAGAGATCAACCCGTTGGCACTGGCTGATGTTACTTCTCAAATAAGTGAAGGTGTCAACCAAATCCCACCGTAGTTATTAATATTTGAGTTTTTTTTTAATTTTCTTAAGCAAAGCTTTCGATGTCAGTATGTTACGAAGAAATGAAGGGTGTCGATATATCTGTGTGGAACGCCGAGGGGGAAATGTTTCTGTACTATATGATTTGTTAATGCATTATCAGTTTGGTTAGTCTGGTGTTGCAAGTTGGTCTATTGTTTTTACCCTTTGTCGTTGCATTAGTTTCCAATGTCCTTTTTAAAGCCAAACTTGAACGCCATATACTGTGGTCTAAATAATTTAGTTGACAAAGAAAACTGCAACTAAATCTCACCGTATTTTCCTTTGTCAACTAAATTATTTAGACCACAGTATATGGCGTTCAAGTTTGGCTTAAAAAAGGACATTGGAAACTAATGCAACGACAAAGGGTAAAAACAATAGACCAACTTGCAACACCAGACTAACCAAACTGATAATGCATTAACAAATCATATAGTACAGAAACATTTCCCCCTCGGCGTTTCACACAGATATATCGACACCCTTCATTTCTTCGTAACATACTGACATCGAAAGTTTTGCTTAAGAAAATTCAAAAATTCAAATATTAATACAGTTAACATCTCTCACGGACTTCAGGCTTAGTGTCAACATTTCCTAAAATTGACATTCTTGAGAACATGATGAATTCGCAGAAAGTTTCTCTTCAAAATTATCAGTTCTATTTGACTAAGTTAACCAAGGATATCAAGAAGTCCCACGTGCTTTCTGTTCTGCTTTAAAATGCTTTTGCACACCATACCCTAACAGCCAACTGACAATTGACAAATACATGGCTGGTGACATTGAAACTAATTAGTGAAACTTTTTGATGATTAGAATGTGAAGACTATTGCACTTCAGTATAACGAGATACGCAGGTAAAGTATCTTCAAATATCTATGAAGTACCTCGCAAAAGGACAGTGCAGAGAGCGATTTCCTCGGATACATTTTCGTCTAACCGCATTGTCTTGATTAGAGAACAAAAGACATACATATAGACGTCTTTGCATTAATTAGAGACTATTCACATGCTTACCTGAATAGGATGCAAAGATTCATCAAAGATTTCAACTATAGGATCACAAGCATTGCTAAGATCTCGGTGTTTTATCTGTAGGTAAATTGCCTGAGCTAATGCACGAACAGTGGATTTTGGATCTGGTCTGGTAACAGTTGAATCATGCAACCATATGCTTGATGTTGAACTGGATCGATAAAGCAGAGGAAGACCGTTTTGACGACTTCTTGGGACCTATAATGCAAACCAAAAAGAAACAAACAATATATGAGACTATTGTTATTTAAGAAAACTAAATAAGATATAAGTCAGGAAATAGGAAGGTATTTTTGTTGATCGTCTTTAGCCGACTCGAATAGCGCAGAACACTAAATTGTATTAAATCATTTCAGCTTAATCACTAATACGTAACAAACACCTTTATCCACTAGGCTATGAAACGCCCAGTATGGAGGGCCCATGATATATACATGAGGCTAATCGTTTCCTGGAAAGCACAAAGTAAAGTAGGTGAAGCACAATTTGAATCTGGGATATATGCGATGAAAATTTGTTGCTTAAATCGATGAGCTATGCAATTTAGAAAAATTATACTAAAAGATTGACAGCAGCTACTTTGGCATGTGCTACTGATAAGCAGTATATAACGAGATGCTCATCAACATAAAAAACATCAAATAGCAGGGAAATGGATTTGATGTCACGGAAAGCAAAAGATACATCGTTGCGGGATCCATGGGAGACGTGAAAGCAACACAAAGAAACACAATTTGAAGGCTAGAAGTAGCACAACACGGAAGATCTGTGCAAATGGTGATTTAAAGATTTATTATTGTTTTTGTCTCCTTTAGTTTCTAGAGGAACATATGCCTTCAGCCACACGTCTCCATTGCGTTCGGCTGTCCGCCAACGTTTTCACCCCGCTCAACGTCTGCCCACATGCTTTCATCTCTTCATCGCAAGACCTCCTTCATGTCATCCTCGCACTGATGACCAACTCACCGCTTCCTATTCGAGCTTCACTCGAGAGAGAGATCCTGGCGTGTGATGTCACTTGATGGTTTGTTTTTTCTGAGTATTGCCTACAATCCACCACCACTTGTTACTGCATATTTGTTGCACAATTCGTTCCTGAAGGGTTGGTTCGCTACCAGAGATCCCTTCCTGTTGCTGATATTTACTGGCAGACCATCTGATCTTGAGTAGTATTGAGCGAAGACAGCAGTTGATGAATATCTATAGTTTGTTTGAGGTGCTCATGAAGCGCCAATTCTCTGATCCATGAAGTAGCAGTGAGTTCACATTGGAGTTGAAAATCCGGATCTTATTTTTGATGCTGAGTGCTGTTGACCTCCACACACACTTGAGAGTAATGAAAGCTTGTCTTGTCTTTCCGATCCTTCCTTTGATATCCTCATCAGTTCCGTCCGCCTGTAGCTGAAACGATGCTTCCCAGGTAGGTAGGTAGGTAGGAGAAGGAGGTTGCTTCTTTCAGGTTCCTCTCATTTATGCCGACTGCTGTCTGTTGTTGTTGCTACTGGCCAAGAATCTTCATCACTGATATAAGAAAAAAACTTGTGCACTGTGGTAGAGTATAATTCCATTATGGGTAAATTTTGTTTTGATAAAGTCTCACAGTGTTATACAGTAATTTTTTATTATTTTTATTATTTATTATTTTTATTTATTTTTGATTTTTAAAAAATCTTATATAATTTATGAGGTAATTAGATTCAATATACTGTAATGCACGCTGAAAATTCCATACCTGTACCACAAATACTGTTTGGAATAAAGCTGTTATTATTATTATTATTATTATTAATGTTTACTGATGACGTTTCGAGCACAATTTATTGCTCATAATCATATCAAGAAAATCACACGACTTCTTAAATTCATTTATATAGTTCCATTATTTTTCACTTGATTTTCACTTGATTTGATTGGCAGTAGTATTTTCCATATTTCAGGTATGAGTGATGACTCATTCTTACTGCATGTGTTTAGACGGCGCAAAGTACATACCATACTTACAGACACTGATCGCCAACTGATTAAGTGCAATTTGGGCAGCCTCCATGCTATCGCAGAGTAAGACGATATCGTCTGCATACTCGAGGTCGGAAATTCTATCTCCAGGTAGCAGATATACACCACCTTTACACATATCCTTCAGAGCTGACTCCAGAATGTCATCGATGGCAAAGTTAAGGAGGAATGGAGAGATTGGACAACCCTGCCTAACCCCAGACAACTTAGAATGAATGAACGAAATATTACTCAACAATAATATGTATATTAATATATTCGGCAATGAGCCGAACCTACTATATGATAGGATGACTGATGGCGCTACTGGGCAACCCAAATTTCAGTCGACAGTCCGAGGTTCAAAATCGGAAATGTCAGTTCGAAATCCAGTAACCAATGAACTTCGAACATTTAAGTAGAAAAATTAGAAAGGTGCATTAGCGGCATTAGGGCAAATATTATAAGCTGAAACAGATAGGATGAATTTCAAATTGAATTATACAATAAAAGGGAGTTAATCCCTTAAGCTACTGATTTGGTGAATCTAAGAAGACATGTTAGCAATACATAAAACTTAAAGGTGTGTGCGATAAACGCATCCGCCCAACTTTATATTTAGCTAAAGTATTGCGGCCGCCTTCATTTCGGCCAGGCAGAAACGACTTCAGACTTTACGCTAATCACTGAGTCTTGAGTAATCAAGTAACATCAGCCAGTACACAGTAAATATGGCTGATCATCTTGTGTACAAACCTATAGATCCTAACTAAGTTGCAATTAGTGCTGAACCAGAACGTACTGAAACACACCTGACAATGTCGTTCTGTTATTTTTTTCAAATTACCCAAATAAGCACACTGAATCAGTGAAACTGCACTAAAAAGGAACTCAGCGAAGAAAATTTTCTTTATCGATGAAATCATCTTCAGAGTCGGCTGTACAGTCGTATTTATACTTACCAAAATGAATAGTGGTCTATTTTTGAGTAACGTTGGGGGTGATATAATTGATATAATTACTCAGAAGTGGCTTTAGAAGTGAAAATTAAAAGTTGTAAATTACGTGGTACTCAACGGTACAAAGATAGAAATTTGATAAGGTTAAAATCGCTATTGAGTGAGAATACAGAAAAAGTTTGTCCAGTCTCTTATTATACCTTGGTCTTAATCTCTTCACTTGTCGTCTATTGCAAAAAATTTTGATTTTTCTTTAATTTTATTATTTTTTAATTTTAATAATAAACCAATACTTGAAAATTTTAATTTTACTCTTAGTTTGCTTTTACTTTAATAATTAACTCAATATTATCACTCTCATATATTCCTTTTGTAAATCTTCACACCTGTTAAATTGACACTCAACTACCACCTTTATTCTCACTCAATAACAATTTTAACTTTATCAAATTTCTATCTTTGTGCCGTTGAGTACTACGTAATTTATAACTTATATAATAATTTATAATTATTAATTATTTATAATTTTTACTTCTAAAGCCACTTCCGAGTAATTATATCAATTATGTCACCCCGCCACCATTACTCAATAATAGACCACTAAACATTTTGGTAAGTATAAATACAACTGTACAACCTCTGACGATGATTTCGTCTATAAAGAAAATTTTCTCCACTGAATTTGTCTTTTATTTTCTTCATAAAAAGGAATTCTTAAACACAAAGAGTTCTTTTTCTATAGTTTCGTTTGTAAGAGTTAGTTGTGTTTTTTTACTAGTTGATCACGGAATGAGAACCATTGAAAACCAGGGAGTACTGGACAGCTGCTGTTTCATCCTAGTTTGGGAATCATCGGCAGTACGCACCCACTGGGATTCGAACCCAGGACCTTCCGGTTACAAGGCAAGCTAGCTCGTATACCATTCAGCCACTGGGACTCGATTCAATGACTCATGAATTCTGACTTCTACCAATTTGTTATTTAGCGCGACCCCAACCATTGTCCTTGGTGGGACATCCATCCACACACGTGACATCTAATTGGACCTCACAGGTCCAAACTATAGAAAATTAATCTGATGCTCGCTAATGATTTGCTACAGGATGGAGTTTCCTGGAGTTCTAGTGAGAAGTCGTGATCAGTGAGGTCAATCCAGAGGTCACGTGTGTGGATGGATGTCCCACCGACGACATTGGTTGGGATCGCGCTAAATGAAAAATTGGTAGAAGTCAGAATTCATGAGTCATTGAATCGAGTCCCAGTGGCTGAATGGTATACGAGCTAGCTTGCCTTGTAACCGGAAGGTCCTGGGTTCAAATCCCAGTGGGTGCGTACTGACGATGATTCCCAAATTAGGATGAAACAGCAGCCGGTCAGTACTTCCTGGTTTTCAATGGTTCCCTAACTGATATCAATCCGTGATCAACTCCTGAAAACAAAGGGTTCTTGAAAATGTCTCACTTTCAAAGGCATATACAGTACACGGATAGTCGAATTTGCGTTCAGTTTAAAGAAAAAAAACCATGAGTATGATAAAAAAAACAATAATAGACTGATAATATGACAAAATAAGCTACTGACAATGAATATAAACTCACATTACGATCATATTTAGTCCGAATCTCACGAACTCCTGCAAATAAAAAATAAAATTCTTATTTATGGCAATCCATTCACACATTCAAAATCAAATATAATTACTTATTTTTAATATAACAAATGAATATTCAAAAAAGTGACTCTAAAACCCCAGGAATATAAACTCAATCCATCCAACGGAAAGGGATGTTAAATGGTTGTAGGCAATTGACACGATGCTGTGGACCCCTAGATTTTGTGCTTATTGGCCTCTTGTCAGTAACGAGCATCTGCGATCTTGGTGCAGTCGACTTCCCCTCTGAGATTCAAACCCATGTCATCCAGTGCCTCAGTCAAAGACGTTACCACTGAGCTCGAATAGCTGACAACAGCCAACAAGCGCAAAGCTCTAGGTCCAAGGTTTCCTTAACCATCTAACATCAACAATTCAAAGTGCGTAGCGATGGCTAGTCATCTAGCTTGACGGTCACATTGCAAACCCGACTGATAGAATTCAGTCTGTAGATTTATGCTGTGACAACATGAATTAACTTGCTATTCCGGAGGGTTCGACGGCAACTGTCTACCTATCTAATAATAAAATAAGAGGTTCTCGGTGAGAAAAAAGAGCTACAAACTGTATTTAATACAAACACCCGTTGATTATCAACCTCTTATTGAAGATATTTTTCAATAGTAGTCATTAGTCAATCAGCTGTTTCATGCCCCCTTCTTCACCTCACTATTATATAGATTTAGTTCACATTTTCATATTAAACTAGTTCAATGACATACACCAGTTTCTAATATGATGTGAGTATATATATATATATACTGACAATAAATGTTACCTCAATGATCTGATCGATTTTTATAGCAATTACTCAAGTAACAATACTACGATAGGCAATTTAAAAAATGCGGGTACATGTGTTGCAGCTTCAATATCTGATAGATATTTAATTCAGTTTAATTTAATCTTGAACTAACGCGCATTTGTTACGAAAACCGGTGACTGAATGATAACCTAGATCAATAAGTAGTAGTAGAAGAACCTCATGACCTAGAGAATTTCGTCTTGGGAAATTGTAACAGGCAAATTTCTGTTTTGTTGACCATTTTCGCACATTTAATTCATGGATAAACAAAGACACAAACAAACAATTAAACTAACTGGATACAAGGAAATGAGATGGGGAATTAGGGAAGGAACATTCACAACAACAAAAAAGTTAACTAGGCAGTCCCTAAGGAGATTACAATTAGTTCTGGACTTGACTAACCTCAATTGGCTCAATATTCTAGTGAAATTACTTATTATATACTGCATGAAATAATAAACTTTTGAAGTGAATAAAATCTAAGGTCGATGATCAAGTGGCTACAAAATCCGAAAAAGTATCACCAAATTATATATGTATAGTATTTCTGAGATATTTACAGTTTTAGCAATATTCCAAGACACATCACAGGTAAATTATACAATAACAGACAAAATCATTATTCATTTCCCTTTGGACACCGAAAATAGGTTACTCTAGTGGTCTTTAAGCATTACATCTCAGAACTACCGAGGAAACTGAGATAAGAAATTATGTGAACCTCTGAACGGCTATCAATATCAATAAATACTTTCCTTATTGTGTCTCACATGTCACAAGTGAATAGATTATTATAAGCAAACCAGGATTTCATAAAAGAATACAATTTGGTTGCTTCTGTATTCCCAATGATGTTGAATAATAAAGGACCTTTATCAGATAATTACCAGCAGTCTGTTAGAAGTTACACGACCTTTAACTTTTTCTGTGCAATAATCATGGGGGGATAAGCTTGAATAGTATAGTATTGTAAAGTTCTAGGCTCAATAATAGTGCAAAGACTAAGTGGGGCTCGGGAAAAACAATCCTGAGAAAAGCAAGCAGACTTTAGGCCAAGAGGAAGGTGTATTGATTCTGTGACAAATTTTGAGGCATAAGCACATCTACCGGTACCCAATGATTGCTGTATTCCTTGACCTCAAAGAGAAATTTCACCCCATCGACCGGGAAGTGCTGTGACAATGTCTAGCCATGAAGGGAATGCCGAGAAAGTTTATCACACGAATCAAAGCACTCTACTTGAATTCACACAGCTACGTAACAGCTTACGGACAGTTGTCGTCCATCAGGTGTCCATCAGGTATTTCCACTGTTCCCATTTTTGGTTTAATTTCATCATAGATGACCTAATGGAATTGCCCCTGAGTGAATTCAGCGACTCAGAGATTGACTGAGTTAACAGGGAAGCCTAGTTGAATAGAATGTGAAGATGCTATTGTCCTCCGAGGTGAAGGATCTGACAAAATGCAGAGACTTCTGAACACCTTGAACAGAAATCCTTGGATGTTTGGCATGCGAATCCCTCCTGTCAAATGTAAGATGATGTTACATGACTGGAGTGCATTGACTCCTAGCTTAAAGATAGAGAATAAAGTGACTGAGCATGTCGACCACTTCACTTATTGGGGAAGTTCTATCAGTTCCAATGGAATGGTCACTGGTGAAATGCCAGTGCAGATACAAAAACTACTGTTCCATTTTCCAACTTACATCATCATGACATAGAAGTAATATCTACGTTTTGATCAAAGGGTGTGTGTATCGCACAGCAGTTCTCCCTATCCTTCTTTGTGTATGTGGGATATCTCCACTGAAAGTGGAAGATATACAGATGTTGGTTGTCTTCAATCACAAATGTTTGCGCTTTATATCCCGCGTTAATTGGTATATAATAGTGAGTAGAAAGTAGTGTTGAGTAAGGAAGAGAAGTCAATCGATGAATCGGTGAAGTTACATCGGTTAAGGTGATTAGAACATATATTGCATATTACAAGCCATCACCTTCTTTGATGACCAGTGTAAGCCGACATGGGATTAGGCTGTAAAAGAGTTAGGGGTGATCAAACCAAAACCTGGAATCAGTTCATTAAATCTTTGACAGTTACTGTGAACTAAGTAAGGAGGTGTAAACTGTCTAGTTGGGGTTCGCAGGAGCCTAAGAACCAATAGATGGAGACTATTGGAGGTATGGTTCAAAATCTTCTTGTCTGGCACAGATGCATTCACTCTTTGTGATTTCCCATATTCATTAAACTGTTATGTTTTTCCATGGTACTAATCTTTTTGCGTTACATTTCTGCTCATTTTAATTACAATAATTTTTAAAAATCTATTTTCTCTCTGATTTCCCTACCTTTGTGTGCTATATGGAGTGTAGCGACTTCAACTGGTGCACTTCTGTACAAAGTTCTTTGTTGAAATTCACTCAGTCAGTTGTCTATCTGTCTGTTTTCGACATAGAACTTTGCACCGATGTGCACCAGTTCAAGTCCCACACTCCCTCCATGTAGCACACAAAACAAGAGAAGAAAGTACAAGAAATGCATAATAGAGACAGTAAACAGGTGTGAGACAGAGGAATAGTAATAACGAAGAACAACAGAGTTTCATTGGAAATCATAAGTCACAAGGAGTGGATGCATCTGCGCCAGCCATCGAGAACGATAACTTTGAGCCATATCACCAATTGTTTCCAACCACTGGTTTTTACCGTCCCAACGACCCCAACCAGGAAGCCAGCCTACACCTTCCTACGTGACTTAAACTAACTGTAGTGAATTTCATTGATTGATGAAGCCATGTTTTGGTTTGACCACAGCTAGGTCTTTTCCACTAACTGCCTCTTTTTCAACCTGGTCCATCCTGTCAGCTTACATTGTCCGTCAGTCGAGGAAGGCGATGACCAGGCACACGTAACACATATCCTAACCATCTCACTCAGTCGATGTAATTTTACAGCCTCGTCGATTGATTTCCCCTCCTTACCTAGAACCCGACCCATGCCTAACCTCAATATTGCTCACCTTATTATACCACTTCACACGGGAGATAGAATGCAGGCACCTATGATCAAACACAGCTAACTGGGCTTTTCATGTCTTCCACTCTCAATGACCAGATCATGCAGTCATAAAGGAGAATAGAGCGAACTGCTGAGCAGTACACACGCCCTTTGGTCGACAGCCAGCCGGATATCACGTCTACGCCAGAGACGGCGCAAACTGGGATATGCAAAACTAGCCCCCGTATCCATGCTGAGATTTCGTCAGAGATCAACCCGTCGGCACTGGCTGATACAACTTCCCAAATAAGTGAAGTGGTCAAGGTGCTCTACCACTTCACTCCCTATTTCTAAACTAGGAGTCGGTGTAGTCCAGTCCTGTAACTTCATCTTACATTTGGCGGGAGCGAATGGCATCCCAAACATTCGTAGATTGCACCTCAAGGTGTTCTGAAGACTCTGAATTTTGTCAGCGTTTTCGTCTAAAAGGACTATATCGTCTGCATATTCTAAGACAGCGGGATTATTCCCTGATAGCAAGTCAATCCCTGAGTCTCTGAAGTGAGTTGGGGTCAAGTCTATTAGTACATCTATGATGAAATTGAATAGCAATAATGAGTTAGTCAAACCTTCATAGTTTACAACAATAACAAGAAAACAAATACTTGATAAGACAGAAAAACATTTAATAATAACCTACTTTTCTCAATATCTTTACTTGAACGTTGCATAAATAGTGTTCTTTTAGTCGGATTTAAAGATGGATCAGCTTCAGCATCTAGATTTATTTGACAAATAAAAAAGAACTATTGGCATAAACAACGAAATGTTTATTATGAGTCAATTAAAGACTAATACTAACTTTGGCAAGTTCAAATATTTGATTGTTAGTGTTTGATTCAAAGGTAGACCTGCTGGCCTAAGTAAACTACCATTTAGTAATACTATGAATTACAAACAATCGTACAGTTTCCTAATCTGCATTTGACACAGATTAATTACCGGACAGCAAAAAAACCACACAATACTGTATACCGATAAGATGAGATCAACGCTCATGAGTCAGGAAGTGTGAATCACAAGTGATGTTTGCAATCCCAACCTATCAGATTCACTATAACTGCTATCGGCTATTTGATTTCTATGTTACAAAAGGAAAAAACAAAATAGGCCAATTTAGATATGAAGTAAATAACCCAAATCAATTTGTTAAGTAGCCTAGGAGCTTATATTTTGATATATTCTTCAAACATACACAAACAGGTCAGTGAAACGTGAACAAAATCAGGCAAGCTAACATTTCGGAGCATAATGTTAGGAATGCCACTCAATTTCGCTTTAACTCTTAGAATAATTCCATGAATTACATTTAAAGTATTATTTTTACCAAGAAAATTTAGTATAAATTAATAGGCATACCATCTGGTTCTCTTTCAGAAATGTGTTGCAAATTTGAAGTGCTTGACTGAGTATATATTGAAGAGAGCATAAAGTCTGAAGGTTCATTGTTTATTCCAAAGTCTCCTTGTGCTCGGTAAGAAAAATCTTTGCCCCCGTGTATATCTAACGGAGCAGTTCCATTGTGCACTGCTCTGGAAACACGATTATCCAGACGACGATAAGGCTGGGACTTATTCATGTGTGGAGCATCATTGGCTACAGGGCGATAACTAGCTATAGCATCCTTGATATATTCAGACTGATATACTGATTGTGATTTCCCCATATGGTCAACATGATTGGGAACAGCCGATCCATAATTCATGGTGTTTGTCTCACCCATTGGCTTGTCATGCGACTTCCAGGCACAGCATGTACAAAAATTCCCCATTTTACTTTTTATATTATGCTGAGTATATACGAAATAATGTTAATTCATTGCTCAAAGAACAAGCTGAGGAAACCAAAAGCGAAAGCATTTAGGCCTAATTATTATATAATGAATGCAAATTATTTTAGTACACGACAAGAAGTGTGCAATATTATTATAAATACAAAACAAAACAAGATTAGGACTATGAAAAATATCAACCATATTTTCATTCTAGGTGATGCCAATAAATTGGGCAATACAATATGCTAATTAAACTTTAGAACGATTGTTTATTTTATAGCTCAAAACTGGAAATACTAAAGAGATTTTAAAGAAAAAAGCTTTCACCTACATATATATACCGAGGATTGGAAGAAAGGATACTACCAAACTACCAAAGAAAGGAGACTTAAGTCAATCCAAGAACTGGCACGGAATTATGCTCCTGTCCATCCCCAGCAAAATATTAAGCCGTATCATCCTAAAGAGAATCAAACACGCCAACCTGGATGGGAAACTTCGACCGGAACAGGCTGGATTCAAAAGAAACAAGTCATATATTTATCAAATCGCCACTCTACGGATCATCATTGAACAAAGCTTGGAATGGCAGTCACCTCTCCACCTCACTCAGCTCCATCGACTTTGAAAAGGCATTCGACAGCGTCGATCGAAAGGTCATTTGGTAACTACTTAGCTACTACGGGGTGCCATAGACAATTACACACATCCAACAGTTGTACGACAATGCTGTAAGCCAAGTAATCCACAACAGGAAACTTACGGAGTCCTTCGAAGTGAGGAAGGGAGTAAGGCAAGGCTGTCTACTATCACCAATGATCTTCCTGATTGCAATTGATTGGATAATGCGACAGACAACGGCAACCAACAAGGGAACAGGCATAAAATGGACTGACACAAAAGACTTGGAGGATCTGGACTTCGCCTGTGATATGTACCTGATTTCCCACAAACTGGAAGATATCCAAGTGAAAAGCAACAAGCTGGCAGAAGAAGCATCAAAGATAGGACTTCAGGTGAACATAGAGAAAACAGAGGTAATGAAGATTCATGGCCAATAGCAACAGCAACAACAACAGACAGCAATCAGCATGAATGGGAGGAACCTGAAAGAAGCAACTTCCTTCACCTAGCTACCTGCCTGGGAAGCATCGTCTCAACTACAGGTGGACGGAACCGACGAGGATATCAAAGCGAGGACAGGGTAAGCAAGGCAAGCTTTCATTTCTCTCAAGTCTGTGAGAAGTTCAACACCACTCCTCAGCATGAAAACAAGATACTGATTTTCGAGTCCAATGTTAAGTCAGTGCTACTATAAGGATCAGAGACTTGGCCAGTGCGTCATAAAGAGCATCTCAAACAAACTACAGACCTTCATTAACAGTTGTCTTCGCTCAATACTCAAGATCAGATGGCTGGCCAGAAAAGATCAACAATAGGGATCTCTGGGAGCTAACCAACCAAGAACCGATTGTGCAACAAATAGGCAAGAAGAAATGGAGATGGATTGGCTGGCCATACTCTGAGGAAACCATCAAGTGACATCACTAGACAAGCCCTCGAGTAGAACCCGAAAGGGAAGTGGCGAGTTGGTCGTCCAAGGGCGACTTGGAGCAAGTCATATCAAGGGGTAACGAAAGCGTGTGGACAGACTTGGAGCCAGGTGAAAACTCTAGCAGAGAACCGAATGCAATGGAGACGTTCAGCTGAAGTCCTATGTTCTTCTAGGAATTAAAGGAAATAATAATATATATACCAGCGAAGGTTTCGGAGTGAAACTTACTTCAAACTTAGCACTAATTCGCTTATTAGATATATCACACAGTGAAACAATATTATTCACTGGATGACGTTTCGGACAATTTATTGTTCATGATCACATCAATAACTATATATATTATATGTACTATTTCACTATGTGGTATATCTAGTACACAAATTGATGTGGAATTACATACTACCAGTGCTCAAGTCTTATATATAATAATCTCACTTCAGACTGCAGACTAACATGACTCTACAGCTATAAAACGGGACTATGTTCCATTTAGTCCCTATAATGCAGGACGTTTTTCGCCAAAATATTTTTATGAACAATTTGCAAGATTATAGTACAACCTTAACCTGACATTTTAAGAAAGTTGACAATTCACGTAAAGTGCAACCTAAGACTTGAATTAGTACAGTGGCATCCATGTTCAATAACCTATGTTGTGTTCAAAATGGTGGACACGTAGTTATTCATTTTCGTATTGATTCTATGTACACTTAATAACCATCGTTAAACCCACGTTTTCTAACTATAACGCCATTATTGCTCGCACTTTCTCGTAACAGTAGTCTGAATTAATGCACTCCTGAACAAAGTTCCACGTTCATTCATTAGCTGTTAGACTGTCAGTCAATAAGTGCTCAATAAAGTTCATTGGGCATGCAAAAATGAACATTTTAGGTCTACATATCAAGATGCATACGGCTAAACCAGTTAACTGTAGAAAACAGGAAACAACAGTATGCATTCAGAAATATAAAGTGCCTTTAACCCACAAAGTTTAGAGCTTGTACAGGTATACACAAGTGAGTAATGAATGGATGTCTTCTATTTAAAACTCATATAAGAACATTTTGCATCCCAATGTAAACCGGATTCATGAAGAGCTGAAAATAACACGGCCACCGAGGATAAATTGAGACGCTAAAATCCAATACAAGACAAATTCATGGACAAGAGTACAAGAAAACAGAGAAAACGACCAAAACGTTACAGGAAACTATTGCTTATTACTCCAGACATTATTTTGTTTGATGTGGTGATAGCTTGAGAATAAGCATCATTTAAAATATCCATATTCTGGACCAAAGATTTTCCCAGCCAATATCAATGTTATCCCAAATTTTGTAGCCGTTCGGCTAACTTTTCACAATATATGGTCCGACTATCATGGAAATATCAGTGTATTTCAACTAGCTATTGTTAATTCCATAAGGTAATTGGCAACAAAAGAGGATTGGGTGATGCTGCGGATGAATCCGACTGCACTCACCGAATACTACATCGTCATGTATCATTCAAACTAGGACATTTGCGAACCTATAGGTAGCAGTATCACGGAAGGGATAGGATTCTGCGTCAGTATTTCAGGCGGGTTTTACACTTTATTCGCTCACCCATTTGTAAAACGGCTTCTTAAACAATTCTGAATGTAGCCCGGTACACACCTATCAGAAATACTGTTCATACACCACAGAACTAATGAATTGTCGCTGGATATAAATTTTGACTGAAATCAGAACATGCAAAGGCATAAAGCTTCAGTACCACCAACGTGTCTGCACTGTTAATTGCACATTACACCATGAAAAAACGCTGTGATAAATCACAAGAGGTAATGGTTATACACCAAGGAATAAAATCCGACTTGAAATGTATTGCGGATACATATAGTAATGGCTCGGAATCTTATTAAATCACCGAAATCAAACCAATAAACCCACCTGTGTTAGAGATATGACCGAGAATCCCTGTCAACCTGAATTAGTCATTTTCATGAGCCCAGAGACCTTGAAAATCAAAACGACTCAGTCTGAGCATTCAATCATCAATGCTTACTGACAGCAACGTCCAAGAGTATATTGCTAACTTAGTGGAAGCAAGCCCACCTAGAGAAAGTTAGCACAAAAGTATTCACTAGACAACTAATACTAAATACTGGTTGTTAGTTTTTACATCCAATATCGCCAGTTATATAAAGATTTATGATACATTAGATTTGGAAAAACAAAGAAGTATGGATGGATGTAATTTGTCATTTTTTCCCTTAAAAAATTCTTCTTTCAATAGAAACCATTTTTAATTCATTAGCATGTGAATGTGAGCTTGTCTACTGATATTTAACTTTGGGGAATATATGGCCACTGAGTGACCATTTTGTTCATCAGGATCGCAACCAGAAGAATACCGTTTCCTATTACCTCACTATCCAGAAGAAATATTCTTTTCAAATCCTACTGCCTGTCGCAATGGTCTCATCAAATTTTGGTCACTCATTTTTCGACCTTTTACTCATAATTAACATACAGACGATGAAGAAAGCGGAACTCATACAAATCATAAACCAATTAGGCTTGTGATGGTCATCATAGACAAAAACGGTCAAACACCGATAAATGCAGGAAATGACGTGCATGGAGGCCGAATAGGTTTAGCACTCGACACATGCATTTATGATAAGAGAGAGGTCATAAGAACTATCCGTTTGTGTTTGCAAAAGTTATATATAAATTTCCTCACCTGCGTCCACTGAATACGGCAATTTCAATGGGTGGAAATACACCGGTTGGCGTACTGTAGTATGTTGCTGCGCTATATTTGCTTATGAAAGAACTTTTTCAAGTACTTTGTATGTTTGAGTCTGACAGTGATACTGTTTCGTGAATTCCGCATAGAAGATTTCCACCTACACTAGTGCATTGTGTTGATGAGATACGCATAGAACTTCATTCAGGCATCGAGTAACTTTCAATTTCTCAATGACTCAGGTGTTGGCTTGTAGGATTTGATTGGTCACAGGATTTCATCATCAGCTGACATTGGTTAGAGAACCATTAGAAAACCTGCAGGGAGTACTAGACAGCTGTTTCGTCCTAGTTTGGGACCCTTCATCAGTACGCACCCAACGGCCAGGTTTCGAACCCAAGACCTTCTGGTTACAAGGCTAGCGAGCTTGTAGACCATTAAGCCACCGGGACCCGATCCGATGGCCCATGAATTCTAGCTTCTGCCAATTTGCGACATAACGCAACCACTAGCCGATGTCTTCGGCGAGTATTTGTCCTCACCCGACCCGCTGCACCCTACTGGTCCCGACTTCTCAATAGAACCACAGGTAACTACCTACCTGAATAAAGCAAGTCACTAGTGAACATCTCATCAATATTCAAGCGTTGGCTTGCAGGGATGACTGTTAGAAGAGTTGCATCATGACTAACAGCCGACTGAGGAAATGAAACGATAGTTGCAAGTAATCGCTAATTAAGTAAGGACCACTTTCACTGTTGAACCACATGTATTGATATTCCAATGGCCAAAATCCACTATGGTGATTATGAGCTACTATAAACCATTTTGACTTCTTTATGCTCGCTTCTTGATTGTGAAATAAAGATTCCTGGTCTCCCGTAAACTTCTGCATATTTCGCCCTGTCACTCGAACTTTGAAGCTTAGGTTTACCCCTAAAGTGCTGGGGTTAATTATATGTTGTTTGTAGAATGCGGTGTGTTAAGACCTTGTTACAACTGTGAATCGATCAATACTATAACCAAAAATCTGTGTATTGAGAAAAAATATCCATGTTTACTTGGTTTAATTTAGCCTACAGTAGCGCGAGAAAATTACATGTAAAAAATTTCAAAACTAATACTTTAACTTCCTTTCCTATTATTTTTCCTTCACCTCCTGCCTTCACGAATGATCAGTTACCACGCTAGTTGCATATTTAATCAACTTCGCTCACTCAAAGTATTGGAAGATGTCTATTGTTTTTTCTTAAAAGTTCATCAAAATCTTTCAGTAACACCATACTGCTCATCCATCAGTACAATAAGGCTGCTTTCTATAACGCCATGACACTGCTTCCAGTCAGAATGACGATGCAAATTTTATTCGATTTACTTTTTATGAGCAAACCTATACTGTTACTGATAACGGAATTGTAATGCCCATTAACTATACAATACATGAGTCTTCTCCAGGTGGCTGCACTCTCTTCTGTGCGGACCGTGATAAGAAGCAAAGTGAGGACTGTCTCATTCACATGCGTAACCTCATTGTGGCCGATAAAATGAACTGCAGAGTCTAAATATCTGTGGTTTGCTCTGATACGCTACAAGTACCGAATTCTCATTGACTGTGTGTGCAAGGCAACTTGTTCGTTTTCTGTAATTTATGCTCATATAATCTAATCACTTGCTCAGACTTCCTGTTATATTGTGGATATAGAGGTGACTGTGGTGAGTTTTCAACTTTCAGAAATCAACTAGTTCAATAATTTCGCTCCGCTGGTAATATGGGTGCAAACATTGAGTCGTGCACCTAATCATGGTGTTGACGTTTCAGGCTTGGCGTCATGCAGCAACAAAGTCCCTATTTCCGTTTATGCTGTTGATGAATTTTGTGTTGACTATCACAGAATGCTTATCTTTCTGTCCATCCCGCAGATATGATTCATGGTGTCGTAGTTTTGAAGATGCAAGCTATTAAATGGTTTAAAAGAACCTTCACTGCTCCCAAAGGGATGAATTCTTCACGGTTTTTAAATCGAGGAGTGTTCTGCCACAAGTCAGTATTATTCTCTGCACATTATTTGAGTTTTTATGTGAGTTTATATATCGGATTGTTCATCTTGGAATTTAGCTTACTGTTCATTCGAAGCCGCAAGTGAATTGGCCTTCGTTCATTTTGTTCAGTTACTACAGCATGTCTGGATAACCAGAAGCTCGTGTAGGGATCAAAGAAGTCCATCAATCCAACCGAATCTCAGCCACTTCGCTTTCATTGGTCTGTTTGTTTATGTGTGCTGACTGGACACGACTGAGAACAGTTGAGTGGAATTGAGTTGCCTGGCCATTGTCCTCTGCCGTTGCAATGGTGGCCACCCCAACTTATGTGTTCGTGACTGTCGTCTAGGACGTGATGGTGTACCTCTATATAATATTCATGCCATCGTTAATGAATACACCCTTGAATAGACGGAAGTGACAAATTCCCCACTCACTATTTGGGTAGGTGCTAAGATTATCCTGGCTACCACGTAAGATGAACCACGCCTGGGTTTCAGGAGGTAATGTGACTAAAGCTCGGATATAATGGGATATATGGATGCACAACAGTTGTCAATGTAGTTGAAGATTGAACGATCAATTCATGGTTGTTTGCTCAAATCCAACTTCCCCAATTTTCGCGGAGGCATCAATACGACCGTCATCGTTTCATCGGTCGCTGTTCAGAAGGAAGTCAGGAGACAACTGTCAGAAGTAATATTGTGATTCATTATTGTAATATTTGTTCACAGACCTTAGTTGTAACATTATTTATATGTTGGTGTTACAATAAAGAATCCTCGAGTCGCCAATTGGTGTTTTGGTTTTTTCGTCCGTTATTACTAAGCGTTTCTGAGAAACTTCAAGGAACAGCGTGAGCCCGAGCGCAGCAAGAGCTGGGCATTAACGGTTTACGAGACGTGACTGACAGTTTCTGATGGTAGAAACAGATTTGGCGGATTCAGACAGTTGCTGAAAGTTTGGATAGTCACCGTTCATCTTTCCTAGTGGCGGTCAAGTCCTCTTTGAACAAGCAATATCTGGAACTTTTTGGAATTGGGTCAAGTTCAACAATGCGTGGGTCAAAGAAGGGACAGAGTGTCTTGGATGCAAACAGGAAAGTAAGTCATTGTGACTTGTCTGTTAATTGTAACGATGTGTCTGATGTTAAGCATGACATGGTTGATGTTACTGTTTCGCCGTTCAGGGATAAAAGGAACATCAAACTCCCTAAATTAGAACCACGGTGTTTTGATTGAAACCCGGCCGATTATTTACAATTTGTAAAGGAGTTTGAGATCATGTTGAGTGGTTTTCTATTAAGTGATGAATTGAAGTTAATGTATTTGATGAGGTATTGCACTAGAGATGCTTCAAGAGCTATATAGTGCTGTAAGTTTATGAAGCCGAAAGAGGGCCACTACGAGGCTATGAGCATACTTCGTCAAAGGTTTGGAAGACCTTCGATGATTGCAGGGAAATTATTCGAGGCTGTTAAGGGTAATGGTGGTCAATTACATGATGAATCCCAGGCACTCACTGAGTTTTCAGATAATTTGCTGATTTACAAGAATGTATTGATTTCGATGAATTGCATGAGTGACCTCAACTCGAGTTTTATACTAGAAGTAATATCAAGACGCCTACCCACTCGACTGCAAAGGAAGTGGGTGAAGATGAGCTCCCGTATGGAGGATGAGGGTATCGAGCCAAAGTTTGATGATATCCTGAAACTAGTAAAAGATAGTGTCAATCAATCTATGAGCAAGTTATCCAGTATATTGAATCTAACCCCTAGAATAGAGCAGTCTGAGGGTAAAACGCAATCATTGATGACGAATAGGCCTCAAAGAGGTGGATATCGAGAAGGCTCTATGGTGTCTAGTAATGCACATAGACCTAGTGAGTGCAACGGGTTTCGTAGTACATCCTCAACAGATGAGTTACAAGATGCAAGACAAACACGGTTGTGTTTTACACGTTTGCAAGAGGGGCATACAAAGGTGAACTGTGAACCGGTGAGCAAGTTCAGTGATAAGCTTAATGTAAACTCCAGGCCTGACTCCGAATTGTGTGACGATAACGGTGCGGTGAAGAAGTCTGTAGTTGCAACTGGTAAGCCATTGTTAAATAGAGTGCCACAGAGTAGAGTTACAGTCTCAGAGTGCAGTTCTGACTCCACAAGTTTACAAGGTATTACTAGTCAGAGTGAAGGTATAAAACCTCTAATGATTTGTGAGGAGGAACCAAAATTGTCTACTTCTGTTATTAAAGAGTTTGTAAATGATGAAGTTGATGGTAAATTGAATATTTGTGATTATGATCATGATAGTGCAGATTTGTCTTTGGTTGATCATGATGAGATGAGGGATATGCCTACTACTGCTAAGTTGAACAAAGTTTCT